CAATATTTCTCAAAAAGATATGTGGTACGCAGGTGCAAAAAGGTTGGGAACCCCTGGTATAGATTGATATGGAAAGAATAATATGAAGTTTCACTTGAATTTTCTAGAGATTGATCTCACTGTAAATACAACATTTAGCAAAATTCAATCGTATTTTAGTAGTTTTGATTCAAAATAAAAAAAACTCATTTATCAAATAACTATTTCAGCGGACAATATACCAAAGCCTCCTCTTCCGTTACCAACGGAAAAGAAAGTTCAAACCAAACGTTCCGGACCTAACACTTCCACAGTCACCAAAGTGAAATTTCCGCTTCCGGAACCAGTAGAGTCGAATCCAGTATCTCCCAAAGCAAGTACCACATCAGCAGTTAAATCAAAGCTACCGCTTCCACCCAATGCGGACCGAAGACCTGCTCTGCCTTTACCAAACAAAGAAAGAACCCAGACTCCGACAAAGTCGAAACTACCGACTCTTGATGACACGTACGTGGATATGTCTAAGCAAGACGATATTAACTACGGGTATCTCACACCTAATGACCTTGCAATGTCCGGTAATGAGCCTCAACGACTAGGTCTATCGACACAGAGCTCAAAAGCCGCTGAAGAAGATGAGCCTACATACGACGATCCTGACCAAGTTTACGAACCACCTCCCAGAATAAATTTGATCAAACAGCCTTCTCCGGGGATCAACAGAACTTCACCGATGATCTCAACGAGAGGAGTAGACAATTCCAATAACCAGCAAAACAAGGTCCCGGAAAACAGGGGGACAACTTATAAGACCGAGGAGAAGCAGGGAAACGGTTTTCTGAAAAATTTATTCAAAAGGAAGAGCAAACTTTACGAAAATGTGGAAATAGAAAACAATGGCGAACATCGTGTGAATGTTTCCAAAAAAATCGAGCTCACGCTTTCCAGACCATTACCAGATTTGCCAACGGTGGTAAACACTCCGCCAAGAGTCGAGCAAATTCCCATTGGAGAACCTGCGGGTTATATCGAACTGACCCTACATCCTCCCGAACAGGAAGAATTTTACGAGAACTATGATAAAAAAAGCGTGAAAGAATTACAGGGTGAGTAGAAAAATTTTTTGTACTGCTTATATTTTTTTTTCAATTTCGGGATGCTCCACAAAGTGAAGTATTCTTCGAAACACTCTAAGTTTTAATGCTTGATTTTGGTTTTGGCTACAATGAACTAGCTAAGAATTTAAATAAAATTCTAAAATATTTTTTCCTCACTCACATTTAAATATTCTGATATGAGTCTTGAAATAAATAACGACCAATATAGTCATTCAATAACTTGAAAACATTATAATAAAGTACCGAATGCATTGTTAACAGAATATAATAAGCTTACACTCTTGCATAATACTTCCTAAGTTGAAATTTCGTCTACCAAAAGTATTGAATATTTAGGAGTATTTTTAGATAGTCACTTGAAATGGGAAACGCATATCAATAATATCATACAAAAACTGACATACTGTATGAGTTCAAATATTTGTCAAATATCCTGAAAGTGGGACAAATGAAAATAATTTATAATTCATTAGCGGAATCACATTTATTATATGGAANAATAGTTTGTCAGAAACGGCTAATTAACGCCCATCATGAAAAGCCCTGTATAGTATGACAATATTGGACATTATACTGAGAGACTCAACCAACTCGCGAAAAAAATGTGGAAATTGCAAAGATAACACAATTTACTTCTGTAAAAAATGCAAATTGCATCTGCATCCAAATTATTTTGAAAATTTTCATACAAAAGAATAGTCTGTTTTCTTTTATGCATTCATCATTATACACCTAGTTTTTGTTGTCGATATGATAATTTAGACCACAGGTGTATATGTTACGGGCAACGTGATTAACTGGGCATTATTAATGAAGGCCGGCCAATAATAATAATGCCCAAGAGCGACGGACGAAGTCATTAATTTATCACTTTCACCGGCCATTATCAATAATGCCCGACGGCCCGTGGTCCATGTAATAAGTCAGTGTTTGTGAATTTATCACTTGGACCTCGCAGTATAGATAACTCTCTATTTGTAGCCGTATTTGTATGTCTCGTAAATGATCATTGGTATGTGTCAAATAGGTTGAAACTGATTGTTAGTGATTGTTAGTGAAGTCTTCTATCATGAATGACTATAGTAACATAGCTATGACTGACATTTATGGACTTGCTTTTGTCAATTCATTGGAAGCTAGGTGGTTGTACAGTGAACGATTTCCTAATCGTAATGTACCTAATAGAAAAACCTTCCAAAGAATACACCAACGACTTCGTGAAACAGCCAATGACAGAACGGTAGAAGTAGAAGAAAATGTGTTGGCCATGACAGAAGAAGATCCAGGTACCTCTGCTCGAAAAATGCGAAGTAACGGGACAATTTGGAATATTCTTAGAGACTATTTGTTGTACCCATACCACATAAAACGGGTTCAGGCACTTCTTCCTGCAGATTTTCTTTCACGTATCGCATTCTGTTAATGGCTTTTGCGCACTTTGGTTCAAATCCCTCAACTACTGATGCTTATTGTTTTTACTTCAGTTCTTGTTAAACGTTGGGGTGGGAATTGTAGGTGACTTCCTAATTGGACCGGCATTTCTGCCAGTAAGACTTATCGGCGAGGTATACTGCAACTTTTTGAACAAACACTATCTCAGTTTTTGGAGGATGTACCATTGGCTACAAGAAATACAATGTGGTTTATACACGATGGTGCATCAGCGCATTTTAGCATATTGGCTCGAGAGTTGTCAACAGTAACATACGGAGATCGCTGGATTGGTCGAGGGGTACCTCACTTATGGCCTGTTCGATCACCGGACCTAAAATCCCTGGATTATTTCCTAGGGAGCCACCTCAAGTCATTAGTTTATACTACTTCAGTAGAAGATGTGGAAGATTTGAGAAATCGGATAATTGTTGGGTGTAACGCAGTCAAAAACGATCCTGGTGTTTTTGAAAGAGGAGGAGAAGATTAGATGATTAGATTCTTGCATCCGAGCGGGGAATAGTCATTTTCAATAGTTCTTGTAGATCAAAGAACATTACATTTAATTTTTGGAAATGAATTGTTATTGTCAAAATTTTCTCGCTCCGTATCTTCGAAACAAAGCCCCCTCAAAAATCTTCAAAGGACAAAATATCCTTAGAATAGTCCAAGGAATAGTATTTAACTTTTTGCCGCATGTTTAATGAACACCCTGTATATAGTCGTGGTATTCGCACTCTTACTCCATTTTTGTTTCTTTCAAGATTATGAAGTGTTAAGTTTTTTTGTAGATGAGGATGAAGAGGCGAACTACAGCAATACTTCAGAACTTCGGCGTAGTCCTCACCCTACGCCATTGCCAGTAGCTCCAACTGATTTTAGTAACACACCTTCTCCCAATGAGTTAGCTGCAAAACTTGCCATGGACTTAAGAGCTAGGGTTTGGCGTAATGAGGCCCAATCATTCGATACGGACGGAAGCGACTTCGAAATGGATCCAGGAGAAGGCGACGAAGAATATCCAGAACAAATTTACTCCAACGAAGGAGTGGCAGTACATAACAATTTGACGCAGAAGCCAAACCCAGCAATTGTCAGATCAGGAAACAGCAAAGCGATTGATCAGCAGAATGTCGATGACCAGATGGAAGGAGGAATTTATGGAAACATTGACAACCCTGCCGCAAACATTTGGACATCCAGATCCCTCCCGCTAACACCAGTCGATAGAGTTGATACTGTGGAAAGAAGGAAGAAAACTACTGGATTCAATTACACCAGTCCACAGTTCACTCCTGTCAAAAATAGCTCCACTCGTGGCATGGAAGAAGATGAGGCCGAACAAATCTACGGGAATGCCGAGGCTGAAAAGACTCATGCCGTGGCTGAGAACTCTCATGCGGAGAAAACTAGAGTTGACACTGTGGAAAGAAGGAAGAAAACTACTGGATTCAATTACACCAGTCCACAGTTCACTCCTGTCAAAAACATCTCCACTCGTGACATGGAAGAAGATGAGGCCGAACAAATCTACGGGAATGCCGAGGCTGAAAAGACACATGCCGAGGCTGAGAAGTCTCATGCCGAGAAAACTTCAGTGCAGCGGGAGTCTATATGTAAGTTTACATACAGAGGCGCAGAAATTAAGACTTTTCAAATAAATCCTTTTTTTAATTTAAGAACCGGCATCCACCTTTCAACCACTCTTAAGTTTGCTATGAAATTGATTATTTGCCTGTAATATTACTTTCCATTATGAACTTGCCTGAGGCATTCCTGTCTTGATTATATACAATCTTTATACTTTATATTTCCATTATTGTTCAAGACTATATATATATATAT